TTGGCTCCACCCAAGCAAGAAAGTAAAGCACGTTTGGAACGACATAAGGTTGAACAAATACAGTGATTAAATAAATGTTTCATTTTTGGTGGGAAACTAGGCTATTTTGTGGCATAACTTCACTTAATAATATTGACGATAATCATATGCGCACGCAAAAGCGAGCTCTTATCCTTAAACAGAGATGGGGAAGTTAAAATGTAAGTGTCATTCCACCCCAGCCTGTAATGTCTTTACTCAGGAGAGAGAGAGAGAGAGAGAGAGAGAGAGGTGAAGTGAACAGATCATTGCCAGCGCAGAGAGAGAGAGGTGCAGTGAACAGATCATTGCCAGCGCAGTTTTCCTCTGTAAACATCTCTCGGAGATAAATCGGCAAACTCTTGTGTTTCGCTTTCACGAAGTATGATGATATGATACGCAGCGACGTGGATGTTTTTGGGGCTTTTTTTTCGCGGAGTTTACCGACTCCTTGAAAAAGTGGATTTTGCAAATGTGAAGGTAAATTAAAGGTTTAAAGGAGGGTTCAGCCGCTAAGAGAGGATCGGAGGGAGTCGCTTCGGTAAAAAGTAGTGAGCGCGGACACTGAGCTCTCCAAACGGGAGTCAGTATGCTGTCCGGAGGAGCCGCGGGCGGAGAGGAGCTCGGGACCGATTCGGTTGAACAGCATGTTATGGGAATGGCGTTGGATCTGTGCGTCGAGTCTATTCCACCGAGCGCATGAAGAACAAGAAGAGAGGGACAAATGTTCAGTGTGCTTTGGGTATACGGATTAAATCATGTTTGATAAGGTAGGCTGATTTTATTGGAGCGAACTGCATTTATTCTGCTGGATTAAGTTAATTTACCCGTCTAAATACAGGAACATTTTAAATTAAAAGGGCACGACTACTTGCAATTTACATAGTTTCCAGGCATTTCGTTCGAAACTATTCTGCTGTAATGGACTTTTACTTTTCCGCAAACGTTTGCTTCGTTCGTATGTTAGACTAAGGCTTGTCAGCATTTCATCATCTCAAATAACATATGTAGGGTAAATAGTGGATAACCGAAGCGGTTTATCTGGTCAAACATCAATGCGTATCATAGCATCGTTTCTCTTTTACTTGCGCTCTGCTCTCAGCATAGTGATTATTCATTCACATCATCAGCTCGCTGCTCTCTCAAGTTCACCTTATCCGCCTCGAAATGTCTCCTACAATATAAACTTTCAGTGTTGTTTTGTTTTTTCGCATTTTGTTTTGTCTGCGAACATGCGTTTTGGTTAAGACACACTGTAAAAAAAAATGTTAAATTTAGCTGTGGTTGTTATACATTCGCCGTAGCTGATAAATAGTAAAAGGTGGTGAAATGGAAGACCACGATGAAACCAACGTTCAGCAAAACTGGCCTTTCCATGAACAATCGCCAATAAACAATATAGACAGAGATA